TTTTCAATGTTAAATATTAGATATACTGCTTTTTTGTTGCAAAAATTGGTATAAAACCACATTGTTAACCATTGGTAGCAATATCTCAATTTTGACAAAAATTGGAGATACTGCTTTTTCGCTTAGCACGGCAGTATAGTCACATGCCTGGCTTAAATGTATATTTATGCATCAATTCACCTATTTTTAGAGAAATCAGGCTTCTGTTTAGCACGGAAATGACTTTAATGCTCATCACACTGAATGGTTTGGTTCTAACACCACTGATCCTGCAAGTACTAAAGCCTATAACTTCTGTATTTCTCAATTTCTTACTCAGATAGTCAACTTTGTGTCTCATTTTTTCTGACAACCATAGTCACTTACCTTCACTCCTTGATTTGTGTCTTTTCTCCAACCCTAGCTTGTGTTTAATTTCTTTCTGTTCTTCCTTAAGTGGTTCATCTTATATCTAAAGTGATTATATTTCCTGATGACTCAACTTTATACTCCTGTCTTGATAAAAAGTCATTTCTTTTTGATTGCTTAGAACAGGTAACCAATTTTGAATTTGATTTCACTTCTGTAACAGAATGGGGCTTGCAGTGGCTTGTGAATTTCAACTTCAACAAAACAACTTGCATTAAATAACAAAAGCTAATTAATGAAAACAATTATCAACTGTCGACATTTCTATATTAACGAGTAGCAACCTTCTCACTGAGTCATCTTCCTTATGTCTTCTTGGATTATTGTTCACAACCGGCCTTTCATAGAAACCATATATACAATTGATTGCAAAGTTAGCATCTGCTACGGTTTTCTCTTTTTAAACTTTTTTTTCTCTTTCTAAAGTTTACTTCTCTTTAAAGTAAGCTTTAGCTCAGAAAATTAAATTTGTATAAATTTAATAATAGTAATGACATGTTTGACCATTATTGGGTGGGAAAGGGTTAGGAATGAATGGGAGGCGGGTGTAATATCTAAGACTTTTAATTTTTTTATTTTGCTTTAAGCACTTTATAATTATTAAATTTCTGTTATATTCTTTCTATTATAGTAAAAAAGTATAAAAATATTACTTAAGAAGATGGCTGCTTCAAACAAAGCAACACGCTTAACTACAATTGTTTGGCTAGTTGGACATATTCTCTCCACAATAGATTGACCGAGTCAGTTGCTAACAAGTGGTGTTGCACTATGTAGAGTTTTTTTATGAAATGATAATCAAAAAGTCAACTCTTTCAATATTCTGCAACACAGTTGCAGATGAAGTTATGATTTTTTGCCTTAAGGCTAATATTCCAACTATAGCAAAGCGGAAGACTTAATGTATAAGAAAGCAGTTGTAAAATACAGAAAACGCAAGCTTGAAGAAAAAAGACACTATGAACAACATAAAGAAAGTAAAGTTAAATTTACAGAAACATTAATGGATGACAATTCAGATTACTCTTTGGATGAAAATTCTGACTGTGATGCGTCAATTCAAATACAAAAAGTTTTTAATCTTCGAAAAATTTCAAAACATTCTACTATGAGCACTAGTCAACTCTCAATTTCAGTATCCAAACATTGAATTCTTGACAATCAATTCTTTCATGCAACGTTAGACCAAACAAAAATAACACCACGACAAGCAATGATGGTTGTCATACCAGCCCTAGCTGCAATCGGTATTGATGTAAATAAAGTTAAGATTATCACGTTCCACTCTAATAGAAGCTTGAACTACATCTCGGGAATCTCTTTCAATAGCAGTAAGAAAAGATTTTCAACCCTTGGTTCTGCTAGTTGCTCATTTTGATGGTAAAATGTTGTCGTATGTTGATAGAACCAGACGCAAATATTTGCCAATTGTTGTATCTGGCTTGGATATTGAGAAATTACTAGGGATCCCTGAGATACCTGCTGGTATTGGTGCTCTGATGGGACAGAAGGTATTTGAGTTCATTCATTCATGAATGGCCTGGCGTTGAAGAGCATCTTGCAGGTGTTTGCTTTGACATGACTGCAAGTAATAGAGGAAGTTATAATGGGGCAATAACTATCATACAGAAGTTAATGAACCAAAGAGCTTTGTTTTTTAGCCTGTCGACATCATATTCTTGAAATCTGTGCAAATGCAGTGTTTGATACGTTTTTTGTTTTAAAAGGACCAAACATTGAACTTTTTGGTAGAATAAAGTCCCAGTGGGAGTTAATAGAAAAATCAAAGTTTGAACCACTTGAAAGTGATACAAGCGGAACGAGATGCCTTAAAAAGCTCGAAAAAGAGTGTCTTGCATCTCGAAAATTTGATGTGGTGGAAAATTAAAAAAAAAACTTAAAAGACACTCAACCACATGATGACTATAAAGAGTTGGGGCGACTAGCTTTTCTCCTTTTGGGAGAAAATAATGATATAACAAGTATTTGCACTCCTGGTGCTTACCATCGTGCAAGATGGATGGCTAAAGGAATATACTGTTTAAAAATTTTTGGCTTTCGTCATCAATTAAATGTTACAGATAAAGAAATAGGGATTTTAAGAGGAATTTGTCTCTTCATAACCACAATTTATGTATGTTTCTAATTTTCAGCACCTCTCACAACAGAAGCACTGTTGTGAGAGGTGCTGAAAGGTGTTGTCAAGTTGACAGCAAAGTTGCAAATGTTGCAAAAAATATAATTAAACTTTAATTATGGTATTTAAGTGAAGATCTAGCTGCTCTCCCATTATTCAGTGAAGAAATTTATGTTGAAAAGAAAATAGAAATTGTAAATGTCTTACAAAAAGAACCATTACCAGGTGACAATAGAAGGCTTGCTTCAAACAAGATTTATACATTCTCTAAACTTTCTATAGCTAACTTTGTTACACGACGCTCAATGAATTTGTTTGACCCTCTCAATCTACCAAAAGAGTCCTTGACATCGTCTTCTAAAACTTGGGCTAATCGTGATGACTACAAGGCTGCTTGTAAGAATGTTTGTGCCATGAAAGTGGTTAATGACTGTGCAGAACGGGCAGTTAAATTAGCCACTGACTTTGATGAAGTTTTGACAAAAAATAACAATCAGTATCAGCTTCTTTACCAAGTAGTTGAGTATCATTAAAAAAAATTTCAACTAAAGCTACAAAGAGACAAACTACAAAGTTAAACCATAATCATTCTAAATAACAGCAGTTTAATCTATTTAAATATGCATACATATAATATGAACTAAATATATAATTAAGTACATATATGGCTATTATTTTTCTGTAGTATTTTAATTTAGTTATATGTCAAGGTTGGATTAAATTATGTATGTTGTTTTATTAAAATAATTTTAAATGTTGTTGTTTGTAATATGTTTTCTTGAACGCATAAAATCATTTTTTTTCATTCTTTTAAAATTTTTGTTCAAGTACATTATTTTTTGTTATTTTTTAATTTAAAAATTTGGATTATGGCTGAGTTAGAAATGACTGGTAGAGGGGCATATGGGCATCTAGTTTAGGGCATATGGGCCACTAGTACTTACAATTAAAAAAACTGAAGAAATGTTAAAAAATAAGAATCTTTTTTAAGTTGTTATAACAGTTTTTTGTATTTTCATCCCCCCCTCCTTCCCCTTGCCCCAGGTTACCCCTGCTACATACATTCATACACTTGTCTTCACCCTAATAAATAAAATTATTGCATGTTGCACTGGCAATAGTTTATTCTAATACATTTCAGAAAATTATCATTTTCAACAAAAAAGGGCCTCAAAAGGGCTTAAAAAACATGTCCGGGTCCTGTTCCCTGAGGGTGGGGTCTGGGAATTTGTCACTGCTAGATACATTCTTTTTATTGTTATCATTTATTATTGTTATTTTATTGTTTTATTTGTTATCACCCTAATAAATAAAACTGATGTATGTAACACTAATACAAGCTGATTTTAATAGATTTCAAAAATATATTATTTTAGACAAAAATGGATCTCAAAAGAGCTTTAAAAACAGGTCTGGGACCTCGCGTTCCTAGGGTGGAGTCTGGGAATAAGTCATTGCTATATACATTCTTATAATTTTTTTAACCCTAATAAATGAAACTGATGCATGTAACACTGATACTTATTGATTTTAATACATTTTAGAAATATATCATTTTGGACAAAAACAGGGTTCTAAAGGGCTCGCAAAGCAGGTGTGGGGGACCACTTCCATCATCAGTTTAGAAAAAATTTTATCAGTGAACTTTTTTTATTGAACCTCACCAAATAAGAGGGTGTGCGATATCAAATTCATAAAAAAAAAAAAATTACCCTAATATATATATATATATATATATATACATATATATATATATATATATATATATATATATATATATATATATATATATATATATATATATATATATATATATATATATATATATATATATATATATATATACATTTATAATTTTATATTGCTTGCAGCCTTGTTGACAGTGAGTTAAATTAAAATAAATAAAAATACAACAATCATCAATTTTTAGAAAAGTATTTTCAGATTATCTTTTCACTATTAACTTTTCATAATAATTAAATATTTATTTGCAAATGCAAGTAATTGAAAGTATGATATAAAACATTTGCTTTTCTTCTTATTTTCTTCTTCTTCACTTTTTCTTATTACATTATCTTCTTGATTTCACACTCTTTTATAAATTTCTTAAATCTTTATAAGTTTTTAAATTTATGAAATTCTTCAGTCCTTGTACGAAATACTGTTGTCATATTGTGTTTAATATTTTTAAAGGTTTCTTTTTATTGTTTCTTCTCTTTCTCCAGTAATAAAAATATATATTCTATAGATTTAATAAAATATAAAGATATAATAAAAATCAACATATCAATGATATAAAAAAATTATTAATAGAATAATAAAAAAAATAAAAGAAAATAATAAAAGTTTTAGTTTAAATTTTTTTCATGAAAATTTTAATTTCCTTGTGTCATGTAAAAGTTTGACATAATATTTTTTACCATTTTAACATCAGCTTTGAATTCCTTGGTTTCAGGTTTTACTTTCAAAATTGATGAAGCAAAAACTCATCCAACTGTAAAGATTTCAAATGATTTACTTAGTTTTCAAGTAAAACACAATGTGGGTTGGGAGATAAAAAGCACAGATGGTAGAGAGATATTTACTAATGCTATTGTCAAATCTGGAAAACATCATTGGCAAGTAAAGGTTGACCACATAGTTATGAAAAAAGATGCTCAAGGATCAATTTCTATTGGTGTTTTAAGTGAGTTGTCATAAGTAAATATTTTTTTAAATTAATTATAATGTTAATATTAAGCAATATTTATACGCATTTAAAGGTGATACCAATACTGAGAAGCAGAATTCACTTGTCTACATGTTACAATTTAATCGATCAAATCTAAATAAAAAAGACAGTAACAAGTTAATGAGCTGTATGGAATGTCCATCTGATCTAATTGACCAAAATTTATCTTTTGTGCTGGACTTGGATGACATGTATTTTGATGTTTTTATGAATGGACAGGTTCAAACACCAAGCTTACTATCTAAGCATTCATTTGAAAATATTGATAAATGTGGTTACAGTGTATTTGTCAATGTGACTAATCTATGTGTCAAGATGTCTTTTAAAAACAGTTTAAAAATGCCATTAAGTCCTCCTGGTAATATTAGCTTTTTTTAAAGTTTTTTTAGTGTTTTTTTATTGATATTTATATTGGCATCAAATTTTGATTCATGACTTATTTTTGTTTAATCAAGTTTTTATTTTTTTATTTATATGATAATATTTCTTTTATTCAGATTCTCCAATTTTTTTCGAGGAAGAATGCCATTCGATTAACTTGGGTATTTCTTACAAATGGATTTCTAATGGAACAGATTGCTACTATCTTGAAATTGTCAAAGATAAAAAGAGATTTGGAGAAGTTCAACCTGTTTACAGAGGCACAAGTGGGTATTTTTTATATGAATCTGAAAACTACAACGAAACTATTTATGCCAGACTTTTTGCATTAAATATTGTTGGTATGAGCCCTCCAAGCAAAATTGTTACTGTGTCTACTTCTAATGGTACGTTAATTAATTTTTGATTAAATATATTTTTTTTTTTTTTAATTTTTTTATTATTTACTTCCTCAAGGCCTGAGGGGGCCACTACAGTTGAGGAGGCTACTTATTTTTTTTTTTTGTTGTAAATGGTGGTACAACCCTCTCTCAACTCTTTAACTCCGAAACACGAACCCTGACAAGCAAGGCTGCTGCGCGGAGAAATTAAGTTGAGCGCGGTACTTCCAGGGATATGGTGGGAGTCGAACTTCGAAGCTCTCTCTTACAAAGCGAGTGGTCTTACCACTACACCACTACCGCATGATTTAGTCAGAGATATCAAAAACCGTAAAAAGTTATGTCATCTATTGACATATTGGTTATATTATCATTGAAATTTTAAAAATAAAAACAATAATAAATAAAATTAAAAATATCTAAAATTTGGAAGAGTCATTTAAATATTAATATCAATATTTAAATATTTAAAAATATTTAAATATTAAATATTTAAATGCTTATTTTTAAACAATTATTATTGCTATTTTGTTTATTATATAAATATTTACAGTGGCAAAAGTTTCCAGCCAGTGACAATTTGTACTTTCTTTTAAAAAATGTCCAATGGTCTTTAATCTCTATAGCATGTTAATATGAAATATAGGAAACAAAATAATATTTCAAGATAATATCATTCATACTTGTGAAAGTATTTATTATTATAATTGTTATATCGTTGGTATACAAGGGAAATGCAAGTCCAAAAACATCATTTTGAAATAATAAACAAATATAATAATAAATAATAAAATAAACAAATAGTTTTTAGCATAATATTTAAAAGTTTTTATGTAATAGTTGAATTAAAAAAACTCAACTCATTAATAATTTATTGATTAAATTTGTGTTTATCAAACGATAGAGAATTTAAAATATAAACTAATGGTATAAATAACGCCATACTGCTAAAAATGGAATTTTTTGGGAGTGCATTTCCCATGTATACCAATGATATTTACACATACTAGTTTGTGTCAATTTATTAAATAACACAAATTGTTGCCAATTTGTGTTGTTAATAAACTTATTAATCCACATGTTTTATAAAATAATTAAATTTTATATTTATATTAATATTTTATAAAAAAAACTTATTGCAGCCATACTCTTTTTATTTTTATTTTATTTTGTTACCCTTACCCTATTTAGTGATAACAAAACAAAGTTGTGGCATTGACTCAATTACTCAATTAATCAATACAAGCAAGTCGAATTTTACCCCATTCTTCCTTCAATGATTTGAATAATGTGGCTTTATTGTTATCATTATTATATATATATAAATATACATATATATATATATATATATATATATATATATATATATATATATATATATATATATATATATATATATATATATATATATATATACAATATATATATATATATAATATATATATATATATATATATATATATATATATATATACACCAGGTGTAGTAATTGAAAACTGGGTATGGCACATAGATAATGTTTTTTTAAAAAGTAGTCATTATTAATTAAATTTTTTTTTTTTTTTTTACAACTGTAACATTCCTCTACAAAAATTAGTTGACAATTGAACACTTCTCATACAACAACATTGTTTTTTATTATGTTAAAGATGTCGAATTTTGTACCAGAAAAGCATCATTTGCATGAGGCTTTACTTTTTTGTTTTCATTTAAAGAAAACTGTTGCTGATGCTCGTCGAACGCACAAGGAAGCTTATAGTGAACATATTCCATCAAAAACAACTTGTGAAGACTGGTTTAAATGATTTAAAAGTGATGATTTTGATGTGAACGACAAACAACATCCAGGTCAAAAAAAAAAAGTTTGAAGACTGCGAATTGCAAGAATTATTGGATGAAGACAATACACCAGGACAACCATCAACATCGACTTCAAAAACAAATCAATTCGGAAAGAAGAGAATGATATGTGTTTGGTAGGATCAGAAAAGAATTGTGTACTATGAGCTACTGGAACCTGGTCAAACAGTTCATTCTCAACGCTATCAATAATAAATCATCAAATTTAACCATTCATTGATTGAAAATTGATGGGAATGGAAGAATAGGCATAAAAAGTGATTTTGCAACATGACAATGCTCGACCACACAAATCAAAAGATGTGAAAAATACATTAAATGCACTTGAATGGGAAGAATTACCACACCCGCCATATTCACCAGACTTGGCTCCATTCGATTACCATTTGTTTTCATCAATGTCATCGAAGCTTGCAGACCAGCACTTCAATGAAGCTGAAGAAGTCAAAAAATGGGTTAATGAGTGGTTCGCTTCAAAAAACAAACAATTTTATCAAAATGGAATTCATAAGTTGCCTGAAAGATGGGAAAAACGTGTAGCTAACAATGGAAAATACTTTGAATAAACCATCTATAATCTTTCACTAAAAAAAAAAAGTGTTTTCTTTGATTAAAAAAAACCGGTTTTCAATTACTACACCTGGTATATATATATATATATATATATATATATATATATATATATATATATATATATATATATATATATATATATATATATATATATATATATATATATATATATATACATATATATATATATATATATATATATATATATATATATATATATATATATATATATATATATATATATATATATACATATATATATATATATATATATATATATATATATATATATATATATATATATATATATATATATATATATATATATATACTCATATATATATATATATATATATACTCATATATTTATATATATACTCATATATATATATATATATATATATATATATATATATATATATATATATATGACTCAAGAGTATATAGTTATGTCTTAAGAAAATAAAATCTCTTTAGAATTAAGGTAATAATTTTTAATCAAACTTAATCAAACACCACATATGAAGCAATCTTATAGAAAAAACCAGCATGCCAGACTTTATCAAAAGTCTTTGTTGTGTCTAGAGTCTTGTCTTGTTGCTTTCATCTAATGGATGATTCTTTCATCTAATGGATGATATCTTGTTCTACAGCTGACTGTTTTAACAGTCAGCTGTAGAACAAGAGGATTGAAGAAGAAGAAAATGGAGAAATGTGATTTGATTTAAAAAAAAGAGGCTTGCTTGTCAGAGAGTAAGCTGTATCAATATTGGTTGTAAAAGAGTAATTTGCTTTACTCAAGATGATATATTAGAAGTTTGTTGAAAACTGTCAATGGATTAAACTGCTTCTCTGGAATGACAAAAAAATGTGGCCTTTAAATTCAAGAGATCAGTTAGAGAAAAAGTTCTTTGCAAATAGTTCTGCATTGCATCTGCATTGGGATCTATTAGAGACGGAATGTCAGACATAACTATGTTAGTTACATTGATAAAGACTTTCCAATAGTTTTTTGAACCTAACTTCTGAGATAAAATTAAGAAAGATTATGCAAACCAAGAATAACGAAGCTTAGCATCAGACTGCACCTTTTTACATTGATTTCTTGCAATAATAAAAAGTTAAAAAGTTTGTTCTACAGAGAACAAACTTTCTTTCAAATGTTATTTTAGAAATGGTAAAAGAAAGAGCACAAATAAAAACAGAAGATGCACAAGAAGGAGAAATTTATCAGGTAGAGCTTTGCTAGCAACAAAATATTAAGTAATTGAGAAAAAAATAAATAAGTTTCAGAGCCAACACGGTGAGTGTTACTAGGCCCAAACCATTCAGTATGATGAACATTATAATTCATATATTACAAAAATATCAGCTCAAGAATATAGAGAAAGGGCAATTTGAAAAAGATTTGAGAAAGGGCTTGGTCAATTTGTTCAGAAACAACATTAAATAGAATACAATTTTGGAAAGAAGTAGAACCATGAAAACAAAAAAAAAGTTAATAGAGTAGGTGTTAAGCATAAGAATGTTATTGAATAGTCAGGAATAAAATCTGATTTTAGGACAGTAAATTAGTGTGTTAGTACATTCTCAAAACTTATGATGTTAGAATCTTTGCAAATTATATCCATTAACATTAAGATTCTAAAATTAAACAGGCAAATTTAAAATTGTTTCACAAAGAGCAAGTAGTGAATTTTGCAAAAGACAACCTTCAACATCAACAAAAGCTTCGAAGATCACAAAAGTTTGTAAAGGATAGATTGAAACAGTTTTTTTTTTAGTATTTTTAGGCACTTTATTCATGTTTTTAGTAAATAGTTATTAATTAATTAGAGAACTTGACTTGATCATTAGTTTAGATCCAGTGTTTATCGCCTAAGTGATATTGCTTATGAAAATGTAAATCTTTATAATTTTTTTTGCCTAGCAGTAAAAATTATAATAAAGATTTACATCTTTATTAATAAAGAGAAGGGGTTCAATGTTGGTCAACAGAAATTATCTTATAAAGTCTAATAATTGCCTAGGATGCAAGACAGTAACTGGATGCATTTAACATTTACCCAAGATGAGTGTTTTTAATGAGAAACCATCTGTAGCTTTTAATCAACTAAGAGCCACAAAATATTTTAATCAACTAAGAGCCTACAAAAGCCAATCCTACCTTGTAGGATTGGCTTTTGTAGAAAAAAACAAAATTGTTTTTTTCTACAAAAGCCAATCCTACAAGGTAGCAGGACATAAAGCATGTTGTACTGGATTACATTTTACCAGTAGCATGTTACATGTTACCATGGTTATCATAATAATTCTAATCCTTACCTGACTTATCAGCCTAATTTATGAAAATGATAATCATTTTCATAAATTGCTGATTTGCAATTTTGTATTTGTTTATTTTTAAAACGTGCATTATATGCAACATAATAAATAGAAATAGGCATGTATTTTTTTAAGGCATCGTTTTTTCATTTGAGCAAGTAAAAGAAAAAAATCTTATATATTTGGATGAAAATCGTTCTGTTGAATACTCAAGTAACATACCTGTTCTTTTGTTTGGAAATTATATAATTAATAGAGGTATTCATTTTTGGCGATTTCAATTAGAGCAAGTTAAAGGAAAGTGCTCTAAAATAGGTGATTTTTTCTCTACATTTTTTTATTCAATTGAAAAATATTTTTTTGTGTCTTTTAATGCGTGTTATTTTATATGTGCATTATAATATTTTATATGTGCATTATAAAAAGTGCAATCTAATCTGCAGTGTTTTAACTTGTGTTTTATGCAATTCATTTATTTTTAAATAACATATTTACTAGGTTTGGGTTTGGCAAAGTATGGCATTTTGAAACAAGATTATGGTTTAGCAGATTCTTGTGTTATTATGGTTTCTAAAGTACCACAAAATGATGCCTTCTGTCAAACCATTTATATAGCTGATAAATACTTGAATCAAAGTGAAATTGCTTTCTTGGTTGATATGAATTCCAGGTTGATGTTTTCTTTTCTCTTAGATTTAGTCTTAAGATTAGGATTAATTATGTTATTATTAGGATTATGTTATAAAGAAAATTTGCATTATGAATGTTAGAATAAAGAACATATTTTTGTAATAATGATATGTTTTTAAAAAATTAAAAACAAATCTTGTGGTTATGAGATTACCATAAGCAACAATTATACATGTCTGATCTTATTAATTAGCAAAATACCAATATTTTAAACCCGAGTGAAAATAAATACCAAAGATTGATGGATATAACTCGATATTCTTGTTAATGTTAAAGACAAACTAATTTTGATAAAACATGTGGGTAATTTAGTCAGTTTTTTAAAGAAAAGTAAAAAAATCAGCTTTGATGTTTCTATAAAAGTAGATTCTTTACATAAATTAATTACTATAAATTAATATAACTTGATAAATAATAACCATAAATTTTCTGGTATTGCAAATTTTATTGACACAAACTCTAAGCTGGAAGGAAGGTATGAAAATAGTGTTCGAAAAAGGAACCACTGTGTAGGAAAAAATACCCCCTCATTTTAAGAGCAGTATATAATTTTTTCAACAATTTTTTGTAAATAAAATTTAACTTCTAAATTCAAAAAAAAGATTGTTAAACTTAATAATTTTATTTTTTTCTAATCAATTTTTTTTCTCAAGTTTTTAAAATGGTTTTTGTTGCAAAAAACTTTCTTTTTTTTTTTTGTTTTTTTTTTTCAAATTAAACTTAAATTCTTTTAATAAAATTGAAGTCTTTTTTTTTTTTGAGTGCTCTGTTTATCCCATCTGTCCATTTCTCTCGTACTATTTTTGGTGTGTAATTATTTTTGAGTGCTCTGTTTATTCCATCTGTCCATTTCTCTCGTACTATTTTTGGTGTGTAATTATTTTTGAGTGCTCTGTTTATCCCATCTGTCCATTTCTCTCGTACTATTTTTGGTGTGTAATTATTTTTGGTTTTTTGCTGGTTTAATCATTTTAATCCTGATTAAACGTTTTTTAGGTTTTTGCTATCGAATCACTTTAAACGTCTAATATTTTGTGAAATATTGTGTTTTGAAATTTTAATAGATTCTCCTATCTAACTCCAAATCCAACTGTGTTATTCACATTTTTAAACTGTGAATTTGCATTCACAAAAAGTATCAATTTAATGACAGTGAAAACCAACACCAAAAAACTCAGTCAATATATGTACACTCAATGCGTCTATGATTAAATAAATCAGTTTTGATAAATTAAATAAATCATTTGGGAAGGCATTGTAGTAAGCTACAATGCATTCCTAAACAACCCAGTTTGAATATTTTTTATAAATCCTATTATACAAATGGGAAGGATTCAATCTTGAATTTAGAGTTAGAAAAGAGCTTCCGCCTGTAATTTTAGCCTCGTCAAAGATTTGTTAAGCTTTTTTTTTTATATACATTGTTTTACTTGATTTTTTTTCTGAATAGAAAATTATATTGCTACTTTAATGGTATCTTGCTAATTCAGAAAAAGGATTTGCAATTTAATGTCAATCAAATCTGTTCATTTGTTGATGTACCAACAAACGTTGTCCCATGTTTATTGTTAGTAGGAAATGTGAAGGTTTCTTTAAAATGCAATCTTTCTGTTCCAACAGTGCCAGGTTTGCCAGATTTTTTTATGCTATATTGTATTATAGCAAGTATTATTTTTTTTTACAACATATAGCTGTACCACATTTTATTTATTATGTTCATTAAGTTAAGCATAAATAAGTTACAATAATTTGTTTTTTGACTCTGTAATGGTTTCAATTTTTAGTTTCTACTTTAAACTTTTTTTAGCCCCGTCTTTCTTTAAATATTTTGTATGCGAAAATATTTCTTGTCACTATGAGTGGGCACCGTCGAGTCGAGCTGGCTCTTACACTAATTATTTTATTTTAAAAGTTGCAGTTTTATCAGCAACTACAGAACAATTACCAAAAGATGAAAAGTTTAAAATAGTTTACAAGGGATCCCGCACTAATTATGTTCTTCATCCGGTTAAATATAATAGTAAGATTATAGCGACAGTAATATCGGTTAATTATGCAGGTGAAAGCATGGAATCAGAACGTGTAATACTTTACTCAGCCAAAGGTTTTTTATATATATATATATATATAAATTATATTCTAAACATTTGTTTAAATAATTTATGATTTTTTAAAATATTTTAAAGTTTTAAATTAATACTTTATATTTTGAAATTGTCTTTTATTTCTGGAATGAATTAGGTTAATTTCTTGAATGAATTAGGTACAGGCTATAGACTTAAGACAGGTAAAGAGTTACAAGAGTTGAAATCAAGGTGTCAAATTATACACTTTAGCTTTTCGATTCAAGTTTGACAGCAACGAGAAATCAGAAGTGTTGGAATTGGAAAATGACGGGTATACCGTTTTATTAAAAGTACGCGTTCACAGCTTTGCTCTTGGGAGTGAGTTGATTAAAGTTGGTTTTCATTCTTGGAGCATTCGGATTGATGAGTTTTTTGATAATAATCGCATGTCTGTCGTTGGTAGGTTTGTAAAACAGTTAACTACAAAAATTGCTTTAAAATGTTTTTTTATTGGACTGGGAAACAAGGATTTTTTTTCGTCTTTCATTTAATAGTGAGATAATCGTAATATTCCGTTAGCGATCGCGATACCAATATATATTGAAAAATCATATCGCAAGTGAAAGTAAGAACCAACGACTTTTGGATACCGTAAATGTTGAAGTATATGAATCAAATAATTTTAAAAAGTTTTACAAAGTTTTTATCAAAGTTTAAATGTTTGATTGTTTTGGCTTTAATTATTTGTTGAAAACTCCATCAGCTTAAGTAATATAAAATAATCAAATTTATTTTTATTTGTTTTTCAATATGTTCAGAGTTACTGAAGTAGTCCCAATAAAATTTTTTATTTGAGGCAAAAGTTTTAGGCGAAATAAAAGCTTGTCTTGGGTCAAGGTTCGTTATAAATTAGGAGCGTTTGCTTTGTATTTCAAATATAAGGAGTTGCAAAAATGTCATCAATTTTTGTATCGTATCTTTGGAATTGCAAGACTTTTTAACTCGATCAGTTTTTTTTTTTTTCAATAGTCTTTTTTACCAATAATATTTTTTTCGATAATTTTGCATTTTTGCGACATTAGTGTTGCGATTATCTCACTTTTACTTTTACTTTGTGTATAAGAACTTTAGTACAGATATTAACTTGTTATAGCTATTGGAATATCGAAGTTGCAGTTAAATGATCCTATTCTTGGTGAAGATGATTTTACCTATGCCGTTCAAATAATAGAGCATCCTAAAGTAATTCTTAGTCATACCAAACATCGGTATCAACTAAGAATGGATAAATCGGAAGCATGTGGTTTGGTGGTTACGGTAGACGTAAATCTAGATGAGCATTGGTTAAACATATATCTCAATGGTATTAGGATTTTAAATACCTTTTTTTTGTTCTTAATGTTACTTTTCTAAAACCCTTAAAATTTATTGTATTGTATTTTTAGGAACTCGTGTTATTAACGACGTTGACGATCACGGCAAACCAACATTTGATTGCGTTTATGGGGAATTTTATCCCGCTGTTAGTTTGTACGGTAGCCGTGTTAAACTTTCTATAGTAAATAATTGAAAGTATAAATTCAAGCTTTTAGTAAGTGCATTAGCAAAGTAGTTAGTGCACGTGAACAATCCACGTTAAGAAATACATATGATTTAAAATGCCATATTTTATAAGATAAAAATTACAATATATAGAATAACGTAAGAAAAAATACCAGGCAAAGTAGAGAAATATACAAATAATTTTTTCAAACCCATAAAGTAATTAATGTTGTCATAATTTCTTATTTTCTACTATTATCTAAAAATATGTAAACTTTTATAACAAATGTTATATTATAGACATAAGCGACTTGGTTTCAAGTTCCATATGTCTGTACTACTATAATAATTTAAGTTATAACCACTATCTAGATATTGTTTTAAAACCAAAATGAAAAACGTTTCTAGTGGAAAAACATTAGAGATTTAAAAATTGATTTAAATAGGTTGCAGAAAAATATGAACATTTTGAAATTGACGAGTTATTATATTTTACTCCTCAAAGATTACCTGAACAAAGTGATGAACCGTAAGCAGATATTAATTTAAACTACAAAAAAATAACTAGGGAAAACTTACTAGGGATTTTAACTTTTACAAAAGCTTTACAAATGTTTTTTAGCGCTTTCCCCGTGATTAACATGCCAGTGCGAGTTACTTAAAAAACATTTAGCATAGATAATATTATTTCTAACAATATTATTTATGCTAAAACTCTAGAACTCGAAAATTAAGTATCTATATCTTAAGTATCGAAACTAATTCCAGTTTTAAAACTGAAATGAACTAAAACAAAAATTGAAGGTTGTATAATCAAAAAAACGAGGGCACGCTTAATTCTGGTAAATTCGCATGCTAATTTCTGCAAATTTTTGCATAAAATCAATACAAAACTATTGGTTAATTTCAACGACGCATGTAATGCACATGAATTATGCATTACAAAACAAAGTTAGTTATTTTTAATAAAATTTTAAAAGACTATACAATTCTTATAATGCTTATGTTAAAATTTTGTGAATAGGGACAGTTTTTAATGTTTTTTAGGTATTATTGGTTGAGAACTTTGTTTTGTCTTTTCTTATATTATTACTATGAAACTATTTTTTTAATAAATAAAATTAATGACTGACCTAAAGATTTTTTTTAATTTTTTCTTAATGATCTTAAAATTACAGATTTTTAGTATGACTTTAAAACACACTCTTGAGTCAGTAAACTTTAAAATATCTCAACGTTCAAAAGTTGGTCTTAAATTTGTCCATCTTATTTTTAAAGAATAACTGAACAGTGATCTATTCTCAGCTTAAGGAAAAACAAAGTGAGACACGTTTCCGTATTTTTCACGACGCAGGAATGTTCTAAGACATTCTTTTGAGTGCAAAATTTGATCAAATCGGTCGAGATTTCCGCTTCTTTCCTGAGTTATGGCTAAAATCGACAACAAGCCACACTGTTTCCATTTACCCCAATATTGAATATTTTTTCATAAAAGCTTGAAATCAATCATATTATATTAGTTAACATTAAGTTTATGTTATGTGATTTCTCACAGATTTATCGAGTTGCTTATGAAATAATTTGATCAAGTTTCACAATTACACCTTCAATCCTTTTGTCTGTGCCGAAAAGGTTTTTTCATACTTACTTTTTTTAACATTTTAGGGCCTATATTTTAGCACGATTTATTGCGGTGGATAATGTCGCCGATTAATAAATTATTTGAAAGCTTGAGCTGTGATAAGTAAAATAGCAGGAAAAATATTACATTTATCAACCTCCAAATTTTCATTCAGAAAAAAGGTTCGCAGCAGCTTTTTTCTTGAAAGCTATATTTTTTATAAATTTTGCGAGAAATTTAGGTAAAATCTCTCCAAGTAAGCAATTATTCAACAGAAGACTCTTCATAGATACTTTGTCTAGTCTTTAAACTCGATGAAGTTTGTACAAATGTTGCGAAAGTTGTCTTTAAATTTGTTGAATCCTCTTTTTCGATATCTGTAAAATTTCCTTAAAAAAATGGATCGCCTTAAGTTTGCTAAAACCATTCTTCATTAAAAATGTGATGACGGTTCTATAAAATCAAACTACAGCACAATCTCAATTCGTTCATGTATTTTAAAGATTCATGCCCACGTTGTATTTAGTAAAATATAGAACTGCATTGAAAAAATATTATTTTATATCATAAAAAATTTGATTTAAAAAATAATCATTGAAGCGATCATGCAATAGTTGATTTAATTAACAACGTTTTGACAGGATTTGATGACATCAACTATACGCGAAAAGTTTTTTGGGTTTATCAAAATCATTCAACACGGTTAACTACTTTTTGTTTTTGGGACTAGCATTTCAAATTTTTTTTAATTTTCGTCAGATTACGTTTTCTTTTAATTTTCGTGCTTTTTTTTAAAAATATAAGAAAAAGTAATTAAGGAAATTGGAAAGATAACTCTCAAAGAGCTAAAAGAAAATTAAAAAAAAAATTTGTTTATGTAAAAGCCACTTTGCAAAGTTTTTGGCTGGCACCCTTCCCGAACCCTTTGTGAACCCTGGTTTACAGATGATCCCAACCTTTGTGTTTTTTATTGTCCATTATTTAATCATTGTTTAACTAGTTATTGTAATATGTATGTATTATATCTTTAAAAAGTTTATGTGATCTTTAAAAAGCATATACTTCAATGTAAATATGGTACTTGAATTTTTTATAAAGATGTCATGTGTAAAATATAGTTATTTGTTAGAAAAGGGGTGGACTTAAATGTACCTGTGGACTTAATGTAGTGGACTTAAATGTATTTTTAACCGGTTTTGGAGTATTAACTAATATTAAAATTATTAACTGAAATGGGTTGTATTACGTACGGGTCTTACTCAAACATATAAAAAAAGGAAAGGCTAGTGAAGAAAGTACAGTCAACTAATCCAAGGAGGCTGTTGTTTATTCTAAAATAAACAATCATTTCAATAAATCAATTGCTAACCATCAATAATATTCTAAGATTCATCCAGTTGGTTCATCTATTCATCTAGTCTGTAAAATATTCCTACCTAACTTTTATTTAACTTTTCGATTATTAAGACTTCAATCTCTTAAGTTGTTCGCCTGACAAAAGAAACGTAAGAACTTGAATCTGATCTGCAGAGATCAAATCCCTGTTCTTATGTTGGCAACTTCTCTAATATATAGAAAGAGTTTTTATAAGAGAATTCATTCTCTTCGATATTCTTGTAGTAAAGTTTAAACAAAAAGTAAATCATGGTCGTTTTTGTTTTAAGATTGCCAAAGAAGAGTATACTCAGTTTTATCTCAGATTAGAAATAGAGGGAAAATGCATATTACGGAAGAGTTAAATCAAGCACTCCATAAGTCAGTGGAGCATAAGGATATTTGTTTCAGGAAGATGAAAGGACGCAAGAGGTAAATAGGGAATAATAATTAATACAATAACATCTTGAACTTGAGGTTTATTTTCAAGTATTTAGACCTGATTATGGAACTTGTTTAAAATTTAGAATCTTTAAATAATGAAGATTTAGTTGATAGATATCAAGATAATGATATGAGTAAGCGCTGGAGATCTGGTTAATTGCTTCAATGTTCGCCCGATAAAGAGTAGATAAACGCTCATAAACTTGATTATTAGCTGCAATAAACTTGATTATTAGCTGCAATAAACTTGATTATTAGCTGCAATAAACTTGATTATTAGCTGCAATAAACTTGATTATTAGCTGCAATACACTTGATTGCTGCAATACTGCTGATGTAAATTTCAAAGATCTTAATCTGTCAAGAAATACAATTCAAAGAATAAGTTTCAAGAAAATTTAGATATTAGGAGATAAACTTAGACAAAGGAAAGAAGGTTCATCTTGATTGAAAGCAGATAAATCAAAGTGAAGATCTGAGCATGACTATTACTGTAGAAAGTATAGCAGTCAATATTATATCACTTGATGTAAATTTCACTGAAGATATTCTGTAAAGATATGAATATCACTTGATGTAAATTTCACTGAAGATATGCTCTAAACCAAGCTGAAAATTTTGAATCTGCTGGAATACTTTGAAATTGTAGATCAAATATTTACTGTTTGATACAACACTACCGTACCGCGTATAGGCCCGTAGCAACCGGGGGGGGGGGGCATTTGCCCTCTCCCCCCCCCCCATTAATTTCACATAAATAATTAAAAAAAAAAATTGATTTGAAAAATGACTAAAAAAAAAAGGCCCTTAAAGCTGCCCCCCAATATAATTTTTGTTCCTAAGGGCCTGGTGTACAATACCGGAATACATTCTGGAGTTATATCTATCCATAGCTTCATTGTAAACATTCCAGCTCTGCGGTTTTTTTAAAGTAAATGGCCTCCCTAAAGTGCAGATGTATAATAAGGTACACATCTATACTTTAGGGTGGTCTTGATTGAAGAGAAGTTAAAGGGGCCAAGAAAAAAGTTTATATGTCAAACACCAAAAAACCTGGTGTTTAGTCAAACAGAAAACAGACAACATAATAAACCTGGTTAGGTTTCATTGAAGTCAACTTCAGAATGGATTATCTCTGCATCAAAATGCCAAAGAAAGCTCTGGAGTTATAATTTCAATGAATGTTATAATTTCTCAATCACAATGGAAAAATATTTCAATGTTTATTGTAATGCCGAATCTCCGAACTCTTTGTTTTTGAGCTTTTTTATTTGTTTTTCTTTTTTTAATATAGTGTTCAAAATTTCTCATTTATATTCATAGAACTTATCAAGACTAGGCGATAAGATTTTTTTTTGCTCCTGCTATCACAAAACAACATCCCCTGCTATCACAAAACAATATCCCTATGCTATCACGATACAAAACTCCCTGCTATCACGAAACAATACCCCTTGCTATCACGAAACAATGCCCCCTGCTAGAAACAAAAACAAATTGTAAGCTAATGTCTTGTCTTAAAATGATACTGGAAACAATATTAAGTGAACACAAAATATGTGTTAAAAAACTCAAAAAACATAATGTCAAAAAATGCGGATTTATATATCCCGTTATACCCACGGTGTTCGATGACCCCTAAAATGTATAAAATTAGTATTCATGATTTTATTGTAATGAACTTG